TTAAATTTTTAATCAATGTACAAATCCCGATATTCTTCGCAAAGAGCTACCAAAAGAACACACAATTTAATACTTCCGTGATAAAATTAGCTATGGTAAAAGCATATTTTTCAAAAAATATTACGTTCAGGGAATTCCCTCGGGGAATGGCAATCTCTTTCTTAATAAACCCATTTTCTCTCCTATTACATAAAAAAGTAAAGATCTGGAGCTAATTATTTCAATCAACCATATAAGACTTAATTTATTTATTGGCCTTTTTAGGACCCCTCAACCCACTTAATAGGGAACCGAACATTGAAAGGAGGATATTATTGTTCGTCAGTTTATAGAAGCGGTATTGAAGCCAGTTTTTGATGCCGCAGGCAGTGCAATGGAGGGTCTCTTACTTGCTATTTATCTCATTGAGGGTGCTTATACGCTTGTTTATACTGGGCAGGCTAGCGAGGGTTACCGCCCACAAATATCACGACCTTAGCTTAGCTTAGCTTGCGCCTGTTTGACTGCGGTCAAGATCAAATTAAAAATGCAACAACTCGCAATACAAGGCCTTCAGGGTTGGCAGGCAGATCTGCAGACACCTACACGTCCTGAGGGCAATTGCGATTAGAGCTCCAAAACATTGCTACAATAGGAGTTCACAGAGCAGCTTTGGGATTTCATTCAATATCTTTTCTTGCAGTGCTTAGTTAGGGACAATTCAATATCGTGGACTACATCTGAGTGCCCTTAATTAAGCCAAAACCATATTTGGTAGCATGACACCCTGCAGCCCTGCAGAACCCGCATATGCGCACCTAGTCCTAAAACTCTCTGGATCGGCCGAAATCACCTATAGATGTAAAAATTGCCAATTCCCTCATTTGCAGGTATACTATGTTATTGGTATGTCAGTGCAGTATTATTTCCCGAACTGGCTGAGAAATACTTACTCCGCCATCGACCATGAGGTTTGATCCGGTTGTGTAGCTAGCAGCATCACTAGCTAGATAGAGAAATGCGGTTTTACACTCTGCTGCAGTACCCTCCCGACTATAATGTATAAAATTACTTCTGTAAGAAACTGTCTTTGGCTCAGATGTTGGAACGTGAAGATTCGAATACTTATCAAAGGCTTAAAAGGCCAATATTTATACTCCTAGCATTTTATCCACTTACCCCATAGGTATCAAACTAGCCCAAGTGGCTCTAAGATTGTCTAGAACTTGACCATATCAGTTCCAATGTATGCAAGATTGATAATATTAACCTGAGTGAACGGTATCTATTCAACAACTAGATATTTCACTATATAAATTAAGACCATTTTAATTATAGAGTGTATCATCATTAAGACCAATATTAATCTCGTCATATTTACTATACTTGTAGTACTTATATTAAAGTTTTCAAATTCTTTTCTATTGATAATAATCCTACTCTATACTTTCTATACCCTAAATTAGTTTTTGAACAAGTGCTTTAGTAGTATAAAACATGTTATATAAATTAATATTAAATATATTAGAATAATATAATATATTAATTTCAAGAATGGGCTTATATCGCTAAGAAATTCTAATATTCGTTACAAAAATGTTTGGCATCTGTTAAGATCTTTTAGAAAATGTATTGATTGCTTCTTTCACCGCACCTTTTTCTGTTATCCTGATTTTCCTAGTTCTTATTAATTGACATTCTTGTTAGGCTGGGTATTCGGGGCTATAGCGCAGATATTACACCATTGGTCTTTGAAACCTTGGTTGCCTTTTCCACAGTAGATTTATTTGTATTGTACCATAATGCAACATCCGCTCCAGCTTCAGTGAAAGTTTCAACTACTGTAAAGCCAATACCTGTAGCATGCATAAATTTCATGTTTATTAGTAGATATGATAGCAATTTTACATGGACGGTAGTTGTAGCTACCCCTCCGCCCCCGTAACGGAGCCTCCTTTTAGCGACAAAAGCGACAACACTCTGGTATTTGTGGAAGGTGGTTTGGTGGTGTTCTCTGGCTTGAAAAAGCCGTCTTCCTGGCCAGGAATCAAGAAGGCATCCGTTTTATCGAGGTTCCTGCAGCTGTGTGCCTATAACACTTGATCGGTTGTTAATTGTTAGAGTGTGATAACTTATCATTGAAGGGACCCGGAGGGTGTTTTAGGCTAGACGCTGTAAGATAGGGGGGCCACTTCGTTAAATATTTCGTACTTGATCTATGGTATATATAACGGATGTAGACCTCATAGCAGATCGACTCTCAGAAATTCCAAAGCCTTTGCATCCGGTTTAGTGCGGGAACCGATCGATCGAGGATAGCGCTGTATACAAGTCTTTTCAAGTTACAATCGACAAAAAACATGTAAATCACAGACTAATTAAGTGTCTACTTAGGTAGTATCCGTACCCGCAAATTCGGGATCTATAACATACCTAAGTTGGCTTCGAGTTACCTTCTTGTTGGCATAGAGCGCCACAGAATTCCCGCGCAACCTCTTTCCTTGCACGGTCCACATATCGAGACCCCGATCGATGTTTGGTGCCGGTGGATGTTAACATGTCATGTTAAAATGGTCGTTTCGACTTAAATTTACGAGCCTAGAATTCTAGGAACCTAGGAGCGCTCAGCTTCTATAAGTACCGTAGCCGGCGTATTTCTTTTTACTTGTGTATTGTCCGAACTGTTTCAATTTTCGGCGCCTTCGTCGCTTCCAAATTCCGATAAACTCCAATCATATACCTAGGTATACAATACTGGTCTATATGTGTGTGATACAGATATTTTCGCAGTTGGAGGGGACAAACCGCGTCTCATATACATGGATCAATGCAGACATAGCTGTAGTATGGGTATCGGCAAAGTGAATTTGTACCTAATAATATATTAAGACGAGCCTATTGCAGATACCTCACAGGATCTTAGGGAAACCGTCGGTTAGAATCATCGTTTTTTGTACACTTACAACTGCTTGAAATCAAGACGCCTAGATGCACGTCCTCTTTCTGGAAATCAACCTCAGGGCCTCGCTTAATCCAAAACAAGGGCATACGTCTGCACGTATGTGAATATATATCCATGTATATATATATATATAAGCACCATGACATGTCCGGCCGGGCTAGCCCGGGTCGGGAATTTGTGTTCGCGGGGATCCGTGCTTCGCAGTGTTTTCATCTTTTCGCAACATATTCTTTGTCACACTGTCTTATTATAAACACGAATTGTCTTCAATCTCGATAATATCATTGATTGTTTGCATGATAATTTATCAGATGGATGAATCAATATTCGAATTTATTCTCGTGTAAAAATTTGAGACAAAAAACCTCATTTCTTTATCGCTGGACTGCTGTGGAATCGATATCATGTTCATATAGAAGGCGGGCAGAGGCCGCCATCGGGTTCGCTCTCGCCTGTATTTGTATACCCTTGCCGGGGCAGCCTAAAAAGACCCGTACCAGGCCGGAATTTGGATGAATTCCCGTATCTGCACATACATGGGGGCTACTGCAGCTTCGGCGCCGGCCCGAATAAGAAGTAATATTCGAGTTCGGTGCTCGATTAGCGAACTTTCCGGCACGCTAGTTCGTTTAGAATGTTCTAATCGTTTCTAAGCCGGATGGAGTATTAATCCTTGTGACATTCCGGAATTCCAGCACCAGCCTTCTAGCTTTTAACAACGTGCTCAACGCGCGCCATACAATGGGTCTTTACAAAGCGTTGCGGTGGTCCGGCAGTCCTTAGCCGTAGGCTTGTCGTGTGGGTTATGATCAATCCTGTTCACTATATCAGCGGTTTGGTGATTAAATTTTCTTCTAATCTTGCTAGTTCGAAGAATGGCGCCGATTCGCACATAGAATAACCTAACACTATCAAAAAGCTACGGGACGCCCGTTCGGGGTTCGGATTCTAGGTAGCACAATACTAACCGCAACCAAAAAAGCATGAGCACTTTAAACTTTCTTAAGTGCTTATAGATAGACTTCGCTCCAGACCAGCTAGACTTCAGCTATATAATATTTCACCCGCCTTTGTTGATGGCCCAAAGTATTGAATCCCATTTTGAATTTCGACCCGTCGGGCGGAAAATATACACATCAAATACTCTCTACTTACATACTAGTATGCATCGATCTATCCAAATGGCTGTCAACACAAACTTCATGAAATCAGGAGCACCTGGAGTCGAGGCTGGGCTACACAAGTTTCATCCACCGAAATTTGAACCCACGGATGACTAACCAACTCAGGAAAGGCTCTTTTGATTCCGGTCGAGAATTATGGGATTATTTGCCGAAACTCTACTTGGCAAGGTCTGAAAACATCGCGCTAGAGAGCAGCGAGAATGTTTCCGTCTAGTGCGCCGCGCCGCACCATACGACTTCAGATATTCTTTGCATCCCACTACATGTACGTTGCGATCTCTCGATCCTGGCCACCGTTAATGAATTATGGTCTCGTATTATGGCTGGGGATTGCAAATTCAGTTGCCTCGCGCAAAATATTCGGTTAATACTAGTTTGCAACGGATTATTCAACTCTCCCTTTGTGACGCCTGGGTACGAGACCAGATTATACCTGTTTCAGTAAAGGGAATACACAACAGGCCTTTCTATGTTGGTGGTGACTACAGCGCCCAAAATTTTGGGAAGTTCATTTTCAGCCTGAGATCCATGGCCATGGATCCAGCTCAGAGTGCAGTTATTAATGTACAAAAGGGTACTTCATAAGCGACATATTACTAACGTCAACCTAGCAACCAGTAATCGGAGCCCAAATATTCAACTTGGTGGGGGCGCTGCGTAGGAGACAAGGGGCCGACCTTTTTGTGCCCTAGTACCCTACATAGCCAGGGGATATAGTTCGTGAAGAATCATATGCACTTACGTGTGTTGCATCTTGTCTCGCATGTGCCCAGGACAGAAATCAACTGCGCAATCGAATTAATAAAGTCATTAATATAACCAGCGTGGGGATACCTGCATTGATGTACATACGTAACTTCCAAGCTAGTTTATTTCTATATAGGCATAGTAGATTTACGAGACATTGGCCAGATTTTTTCCCCCTGTGGTACTAAGATTGCTCCCGCATTCAGAATTATGCATGTATAGGCATAGAAACCAATATAATGAATGAGGGCTCCCAGGCCTTCTTTTCCAAATGCCTTCTCGCCTCTATTCCACAAACTCTCTGAGAGTTGTCCTTTTTTGAAAGCCCCCCCTGCCCCAATCAACTCTCGCGCCATTTCCCAAGAGAGAATCTCCTGTTCAGTACCTTCCGAAGGTAGCCTTCCTTCTAAGATATCTCGAACTTGGTTATCGGATAGCCCCGCTTGCTTTGCAACTCTAGAATGGCTGTAAAGTTCATATGGGGCCCCGAAGTGCTCCCCAACCGTTAGAATCGCGATCTCGCGGCATTTCAACGGAAAGCTTGAGATATCCCCTAGTGCTTTATAATTTGCCGCGTACCCACTTACTACTGACAATGGAAGGTAGAGGAAGTGGGTGAAAAGGCCGACCAAAGCACCATTCTCGTCACGAGTAGTGAACCTGGGGTTCAAATTTCCTTTAGAATTACTGTGGCGCATAGAATGGGGCCCTTTGGGAAACATACGTATCTTGGAAATGTAGTAAAATCCGATCAACTAAGAAGTCGTGAATTGGCTTTTGCTCTGGAGTGAGCGTCGCGGGGCTAACAGGCGGGAACCGGTCTGACATTGTGCAGCTTAGACCTTTAGCTTTGTGTTATTGACAAAGCGTACGCCAATGCCACCATACGCCTATGTCGCAGGATATTCTATGATCGATTTTTTAAACTGGCTGAGTTGATGAGAACTAATGTGGTAGAGCCGCGACTATTTATGCTATATCTCTCGGACTGTTTCCATCGGAATGATAATATTATATTAATCCATCCCTAGCCTGATTCTCCATCGATTACTATAAGTGGGCCCGAGCCCGAATTCGCCAACCCAACTCTAGGTACTGTAACTCATCGGGCTTTCTGACCCAAATTTTACCCAAAAAAAAATTCTAGGGTATAATAATAATGGAAACCAATTCAGAAATCTTACGGGTCAACTTGTAATGAGACCTCAGTAGCCGATAACTTAAGAGATACGACGAGAAATAAGGTTCAAGGCTTGGTAGCGGATACCTAGAAACTCAACCAGGCAGATACCCGCAGATTGCTGGTTCTAGCAAATCACAGACGCCATATCTTGTTCAAGACCAATCCGCCATATCACGACCTTTTATAGCCAAACTTGAGGAGGCTGGTAACATGGCATCTTGTACTTCAAATTTCTGCCTTGGAATAGACCCCACAAGTCTGCTAGTGGGCATAGTGAAGCTGCGTCCAGCTGTAAAACGTCTGCCCCGACCCTAGTATGCAGCCCGAAGCGCCCCACGCCGCGGTTTTACGGTGAATTTTTTGGTCCTCGGTACCAGCATATCGTCAATAAGTTCTTCTTTGGCAGAATCGTGAACCTGTATTTATGGCTATCCGGTGTATCGTAGATCATATGTTGGAGATTGGAACTTTGACTATATACACTTTTCATACATCGGTATACCAGTATATATATCCAACCAATATAAGCATCAAAATACAGCATCACTCTATCTGGGCCACGCGGACAGCCTCAAATATCTTTTTGCTCGATTGTAGCTCGCTGCCGCAATATTCATTGATTGAATCCCAAATATCATTTAAAAGCCCTCCTAATATTGCATATATACGGCTCAGCCCCCACTAAAGTTTTTAATTCTGCACTTAGCGGAATCCCGAAAACAGTCATGCATTTTTTATGCCTCCATGGAATGGGGACGAACAATAAGGTACTCATAAATCTCTTCGAAATTAGTTTCTTCCTGAGAAACCGGGAGATAATTACGGATTCTAGCTAAACATAAATAGGTTCTAGAGACCCAAACCGGTATGCTTATCCAGAATGTCTCATAGTTCGGGTGAAGTTTGAAGTTCTAGCCCTAACGTGATGGTCAATGAGCAGCGGCAATGCGGGCTGAACTTGGTGACGAGCACACGTATGATTTTGTGGAAGGCACTATCCCATGGCTAAAAGCACCAGGTAGGCAATGCTCCTTACCTCGGAGAAGGGTTGATTATACATATATTTTTTGATAAAGTTTTGACGAGTATAATCCGTCCATAGATCTTGGGCCTTTATTCTCCGATGACGACGATTACTTCTCGTACTTTGACCCTTCAGATACACTAAGTCTTCAGAGGGCGATATTGGACCTGAGACGTTATATTCAAGTAGAGGGTCCTTTCGACGGGATTATCGCATTTTCCCAAGGCGCCACTCTCGCCTCGACGCTACTCCTCGCTGAACACGGAAAACTGGGCAGCGATCAAGAGGAGAACCACTCTAGTGCGTTCAAATGTGCCATATTCCTGGCAGCGGGGTATGCATGGAGTTTTGATGCTCTCCGAAACAACAAATGGGCCCGAGTGGACGAAAATTCTGGCCTACGAATACGGATACCGACAGCTCACGTGTGGGCCCACAACGACCATTTAGGTCCAGATGTTGGGACCACCGTTGCGGCCCTTTGTGTCCCAGATACGCGGTACACTTACACCCATGACGAAAGGCACACTGTACCCGGTAGAAGGTCACCAGAAAAGCTAAATGCCACTTTGAAAATAGTTCGTCGCGTCATTTGGGAGGGGAGTTTGGCAACAGAATACTAGGTGGCGCTCGGTGGCGCTCGGTGGCGCTCGATGGTGCTTGATGGCGCCCAACCTTTCTGTCTGCCGGGACTGATCGCCAATGAATAGTTAACAAATATAAATATGGGGGCCGGCTCTTGCCATTGGGGAGTATTTCCTGCGCGACTTGATATCATGCAACTATAAGCTAAAGAATTTAAGCCACTGATTGGCTCTTGTCAAACCCGTCCCCCTCGCTAAAAAAAAGAAAAAAAAGAAGAAAAAAGTTCGATGCACGATGCGGTGTTGGACAGTATAATGAGATTGAGCACTCGACATTGTAGCTTCACAGAAATAGGAAGTTCAAATTTGTCAGGAATAGTGTGTGTGTGTGCGTGTACAGATGCGGAAAAGCAGAAACTAGCGGGGTATATTAAAGTAGTTAGAGAGAAAAAAGACAAAATCGTCTGAACCGAGCAAACTAGCTGCGCATCCACAACCAACAATATACTAACTACAAAAGCACCCCAGCTTGATGCTTGAGACAGTGCTTTAGAGTGATTTAGACATTGGGCGCCCAGAAGTAAGACACCTTGTACGAAAAAAGAGTCTACAGCAGATCTTTACACCCTGTTTAGTTCAGATATCGAGAATGCTTAGGAGGTGGAGAGTCTGGCCTTCCACCATTCGCGGTAGGATTTCGCTGGAAAATGCAATATATATCGAATGGCGTTCTTGAACCAACGTTGGATATGAGCCACGCTTGTAGCTCCCGATCGCTTGAGATTGGCATTCGTAGTTTTGCTATTCCATCTTCACTTTTTAGTGTCCCAAGGATTCTACGAAGAGAGCTAGTAGTGTCGAGGGCCGCCATAGCTAACTGGATATCTGCTATTTTTGCGGTGTGGGTATTCAATCGACCTAGGGATGCAATTAAGTATGGATCTGGCTTGTATGGGTAGGCAGTGTCGAGGGAGTTAGAGGCGAAATTGGGATCGTCATCGGGGTAAAAACGAAGATAACAGACAGGCAAATCTTGGCCTTTTGGAATCGAAATTGTAGGGTTCGTGGGGGCTACACCCGCTCACATAGTTCTAAGTTAGCCGTTATTCCGTACGGTGGAATCTTAGAGGTAATACCTACTGGTTTGGTGAGATTTTGTCCTTTGGTCAAATTTACCGCCATCCCTGCACCCTCCCTCGTCTCTTTTGAGCCGTGCTGAAATCATACCATTGGCGTCCATTTCGATGATGCCATCGATGTATGCTTCTATATACGCAGATTTCATTCCGTCTTTTCTCTTTTTAAAAACATCAAGGATGACCGTTTTTGCAGCGTCCACAATGGCGTTAACATCACTGTTCTCAGTTGACGAAAAGCCATTTTTTATCCATTCGTCGATTTTCGCGGACGAGTGGGTAACTCCGAACCAGGGAAGTCGGAACGCAGATTTCAAGAAACCCTTCTGCTCGCTTTCTGACATCTCATTCCAACCTCGCCATTTAAAGGTGCCGTGTATGACATTGAGTCGCCGGCCATTGCCGTCAATGTCAGAATCTTTGTATCTTGTACTTTTTGTAAATGCTTCTAGGGATACGAAGACTGGCCCAAGATAGATCCGTTAGAATTATATTATAATTATTGTAGCTTTTTAGGTGTCAAATATACCAACAGCCATGCTAGCAATGTCCTTCCGCCAGTTGCTGTATATTCTTTGCCAACCCGCTCCGTCACCGCTGCAGCTTTCTTCGTTGTCATTGTCACTCCTTCCATCGGAATGACTAAATCCTAGTGTCTCCTTGATATCTCTCATTGAGATATATCTCGCTGAAAATAATTAGAGTTTTGATTAATGTCATTATCAACATTGAGAACATACGCTTTTTGGTCATGAAAGTGCCCGCTCCATCATCTTCCTTATTTGGAGCGGTTTTCCGTTTTATTTGCCTCCGTTCGCTACCTCCGCTACCACGGCGCTCTTTACTAGTGATCTCTTGTAGGCTCTTGTTATCGGGATCTTCCTGATCAATGGCTGGCTCCGTACTGGTGATGGAACCTCTGGGTCGCAAAGCGATGTGGATCTGGTTATAAATATCTGGATTTTCTATCATAATCTCAGGGCGATTGGATTCTATGTCCGTATATTGAGCATTATTGTGTGATTGAATGACCTTAGAGTAGCCATGCAGAGAAGGGTCCATGTCTATTTCTAGGACTGCATTCATCCAGTCACACAAATAAGTTGACTGAGTTTTACCTTTTTGTAACTGGTCCCAGAGAGACTCTTCAACTGACTGGTGATGAGGATTTTCGGTAGAGACATTGTGGACCACTTGGTCCAGGCTGCTAGAACTATTAGTGCGTTCCAAAACCGAAAATTGTAGAGAAGATGCGGAGATTTGGGATGAAGGCGAATAAATTGGTAAACTCTCTTGAAAAGCATTGTTTATGAAATTTCCGAAGGCGAAATCGGTCACCATTGGATTTAGGGCCTTTTGGAACCGGGGCGATGGTGCGTAGTTCCCAACTGTTTCGCTAGAACTATTTGAAAATATATGGCTCGAGACAGAGTTTCTATGAGCGCTAGAAGCCGTATCATCGCTGTAAAAGTTGTCCATACTGCCCCAAAAGTGAGGATTTTCACTGGAGACTTCTTCCATTAAGCTCAGAAACCTGCTCAGCGCTGCTTAGGACTTGCCTCGAATAGCAGACGCTTAGTGCGGGACTATAAGGTTAATCACGTTAAGAGCGCTAGAAGACTGATACAATATTTTATTAGCGTAAATATGCAGGACCCCATGAGCGGGAAGGTTCCATCAGTGATGGGCTTACCAGAGATTCCAAATGCCCTTTGGCCGATACCCTGGCCCAATTGCCGGCAGTACTTGAATAGTTATCGGGTTCTTGCAAACTGTCCTCAGAGCGAATCTCAACCCAAATTCTGCTCTGAAATACAGAGCGGAAGATGGACTAGAAGTGTTCTGGTTCCGTATGACACTCTTTATGTGGTGGCGACTGCAGTGTAAACCCGCCCGCCTTGGAAATACATGGGAGGCGTATGAACTGCAACCGATTGTAGTGATATATTGAATTTGGAAAATTAGAGGCAGAGATATCCCAATGTTTTCCGTAATCAAAGGGTCCTATATACCTTCCGTGAGCTTTATCAAATCGCGAAAACGTTGCTTATACCTAGAGGCAATATAGAGACGTCAAGACGTGAAGACTGCATAAAGCATACCTGATATGCATATTCTTAGGTATGCATGTGTAGCGGCAAATCGAGTTAACTCGGAAAAGTTTACTAGATGATATGCCGAACAAGCTTACACCCAATGAAATTTCTCAGTTCGGCAAACGGCCATAGCGAACTACTTTTGGGTTCTCGATGCTCGGGGTATACAATAAAAACGCATCAGCATACTCATAAAATCATAAACTTCAAATAAGAGTGTCCTCAAAACTACGTGTACACTCCTCTACCTGAGCGTATATGATGAATTGTGCTTTGACTTGAAAAGCCGTGGAGTCACCAGCTAGGTTCTATTATCCTTAGCTCCTCACTACGAGGCCAATCCTTCAATATCGATGGCTTAACCTGCCTCGCTATAGCATTCTGTTTATGTTTCCAGCATGGATATCTATTTCCCCTTCCGTGGGGTATTAAAATCATCTCTGGTGTATCAGTACAACTTTCAGAGAAGTGGTTCAAGCTAGTTCGCGAATATTCTAACTTTCATTCATATGATCATTGCTGAATCCAATCCCCTAATTTGTAAGCTAGAGTAAAAAAGGCTAGTTAATGCAAGTCTAGCCAAGGAATTCCGTGTTACAACTGACGATGCCGGTTCGGATGTACGCACAACGGTGTTGGTGAGAAAATAGAATTCTTGAGTTGCCCCGCCCTGGCTGATTGTGGATCGCCCTAATTCCTGGCTTTAGACCAGCGCTACTAAAAAATACTCCGGATAGAGCTATGGCTCCGAAGGTCAGGGATAGGCATATACGCTAAAGCCAGCGGAGTTGTTCCACGGTGTACCGAACTCTAAGTTAGGTATGCCTACACTTGCAATATTTATCCATACCGTCTATGAACTTGGTATTCAAAGACACACATACTATCTAAAACCAGAAGCAAAGTAGGGGATTCGTAGCCAGGCTGGTACCGTGCGGCTGGTGCTAGGCCTGTGGTGTACATTTTTGGGGTGCTTTGCAATTTGCCGGATCGATAAGATGTGGTGCGGCAATACGATGGTGCGGCAGTATGTGCATATGACTGTGCGGCGATGTGCGTGCCTAAGCTGTGTGTTGTGATGCTTCGCATGTGGTAATATAGCTATACATGCATAGATGTGCCGTAATATATTATATATGCAGCTGTATAAATGTATTTTAGTGATATTTTGCTAATTGCCAAGCTTCGGACTATAGCTAGTACCAATGCAACAGGTAAAGCAAAAAAAAAAAAGAAAGAAAAAAAAAAAAAAGAAGAAGAGGAAAAAGAAGAAAGAAACTGAATAGCTTTGTTGAGGTCGGCTCGGCTCGGCTCGATAGAGGGTTTTTGCTTAGTGCGATAAGGGGTATCCTGAAACATTTGCGAAAGGCGATTTAACTCTCATGGACTAGTCTTGACCAGATAAGGGGGATAGCAACGAGCCAAGCTTGCTATAGGTCAGCGACGCGACGCGATGCGCCCAGCTGGCCACCAAACTAGCGATACAGACGTATTACATACATTGCATACCGTCTCGACGCCAGGCGCCGGTTGATTAAACCTGCCTTAATCAAATCTTCGGGAAAGTTTACGGGAAAGTTAGAAAGAAAAAAAAATAGTCTGCGGATGAAGACTCCATTAGTCTGATAGAGAAACTGGGAAACATGAATTTGGATTGCGGATACATGTAGGTACCTGAATGAAAAGAGCTAGCTAATGGAATGAAGAATCGAACGGTTATCCAACGGGCCCGGCTATGTATCAACTACATTTCCATTTACATTTACGTATATAAACTGGTCGTAAGCGTTAAGCTGCCATGCGTATAGTCGCTTTCTGGGCTATAGATCCGTAACCTACGAGACCAGCTCTCCGGCCTTATAATAGTTGTAGATACCTCTTGATTCATACATCGGAAAGCCTACTATAGGTCGCCGCGTTTCCCTTTTACGTAACTTGCTTTTTTTCTCAATCAAAACATCTTAGGTATTTTTGGTTACCTAAATACTTAAATTTCAGCCTAAGTTCCTGATAATCCGATTATAGGTTCTGGAAAGTACCAGCATTATAAATTATATACCCAGCACCCCGATCGAGAACAAACCTTAGTCAGCGGTGTTTCGTCACAAAAATGGCAGATGAAACGGAAATTGTCAACTACCTTTTTAAACGCCTGTATCAGCTAGGCATCAGATCGGTTCACGGCGTTCCGGGTGATTTTAATCTGGTTGCATTGGATTATCTCGATCCTGCCGGGCTAAAGTAAGCCGTAATCCTGGATTCCAGATATTATTGATTGAGGAATACGCTCTCCACGGATCCGGGAGGCGGCATTCAACATAATTATAGAAACTTCGAGTGTTATATATATACTAACATCAAGTTTTTATACAACAGTTGGGTTGGAAATTGTAGTGAACTAAATGCCGGTTATGCCGCTGATGGTTACGCAAGGATTAATGGGATATCCGCCTTGATAACAACGTTTGGCGTGGGAGAGCTTTCCGCGGTCCCTGCTGTAAGGCTGAACCCGGTACCTTCTCTCCGTGATACAACATTATGTGCACATCGCGGAAGTTAAGTTTGGTTGATTTGTGTGAGTAATAACTAACTCCGACTGGATTCGAGTAGATCGCTGGCTCGTATAGTGAACGCGTTTCCATTGTTCATATCGTCGGCGTACCTTCAACTAAAACCGAAAAGCATGGATTGCCCATTCATCATACCTTTGCTGATGGCGACTATTCTGCTTTTAAGAATATATCAAAAACTATATCACAAGCTTGTATTACTCTTGACGATGCCAAGATCGCAGGAAAAGAAATTGATAGAGTTTTACGAGGTAAGCGTTCTCATTTACTCCCAAATTTGGTGCAATCGTAGCCGGATAAATAATTAATAACGACTTGGTTTCCGCTATAGAATGTTATCTTTCGGCTCGACCAGTTTATATAGGTATAAAAGCCCCAAGTCCCTTAGCGGGGGGGAGTCCTCAAGATATTCTAGCTCTATAGACTAGCATCGACAAATCTTCTGGACGAAGGTTAAAAGTTCTAATATATTAATTGGATGATGCAGCACTTCCCGTAGATATGGTCCTCTCAAAGACCCCGGCGCAAGGACTTGATAATCCGATCGACCTCACTGTACCCCGAAACGATCTAGACACTGAAACAGAAGCCGTTGAAGCAATCAAGAAGGCGTTATACGGGTCTAGTAACGCTATTATATTGGTCGGCGTTGGGGCTATGCAGTATCGCGTTTTGAAAGAAGTGCAGGAATTTATTGATCTGTCGCAACTCCCCGTCTTCCTCACCCCCATGGTACGTGCCCCCAAGAAACCTCAAGAACAAAGTATCAACACGGATCTTAGAGTCAATTCAGCGTTGTATGGACAGGAGAAATTGATGTTGCACGTTGAGACAAGTGTTCAGTTAGTATTAGACAATTTAAGCTTACTCGCAACTTGCAATGAAAATAGTCTAGGGGGGCTACCAATGAAGCTAGCTCTCAATTTCGAGGAGTGTATAACGGCGATGCATCCGGGCCAGAAATTCAACAAGCAATTCAATCCGCAGATCTTGTCGTTTTCATTGGCCCTTTGAACACCGATTTCAACAGTGGGGGTTTCACTAGCTATACAAAAACCAAAAATACAATCGAATTTCAATCTAATTTCACCAAGGTCAGCTTATTGTTCGGGGGAGTTTTGGAGACAGAGATCCAAAGAGCTAGTTCACTAAAACTCGATAGGTCGGATACGCAACCTACCTCGATGTAGGGATGAAGTTGGTTCTTCCGAGGATTCTCGACTCAATTGACGTTCGCAAAATTCAACACCCACAAACTAATATAACCAAAGTGGAAAAACCAATTGACGTGGAAGCAAAGATTACAGAGCCTTCTGACCAAGAAGTTACCCAGCAATGGTTCTGGGGTCATATTGGGGACTGGCTACAAGAAGGTGATGTTGTAGTCGCAGAAACGTATGATATAAACCTGTGATTTCAGAGGCCATCGATGCGCTGTATACATGTACCGATATCAAAAGAACTAACCGTCGATTTTATAACAGTGGTACCTCGAGCTTTGGCATCATGGATACCCGCTTCCCGAAAGGAGTTACTGCTATAACGCAGATTCTTTGGGGTTCCATAGGCTTTTCAGTAGGTGCTTGTCAAGGTGCTACCCTCGCTATTGCAGAAAGCGAAAGGCCGACCCGTCGGGTTATTTTGTTTGTAGGAGACGGGTCTTTCCAACTCACAGGCAACGAAATTTCAACAATGATTCGACATGGGTTGAAACCAATAATCGTCGTTCTTAATAACGATGGCTATACCACTGAACGAAAAATACATGGGCCAGAGATGAGTTATAATGATATTCAGCCATGGAAGTACCGGAAATTTCTGAAGGCATTTGGAGCAAGGAAGGGCGAATATAAGAACTATGTTGTTAGGACACAGTCTGAGTGCTATGGTCTCTTCAACAAGGGGAACGAATTCTCGAAAGCGAATGTCATCCAGGCAAGTAAATTCATAACCAAATATCCACTATTATCCCAGGCTAACTTACACGGTTGCATATAAATAGCTAGTTGAGTTGTTTCTGCCAAAAATGGACGCTCCGCATGGGCTCTGCTCTACGCTAGAGTCACTTACTAAATTCTATGCCAAACTTTGATTTCGTCTGGGTATTAGGCAATTGAGATTTCGCCCTTTCCGCTTTATGGTTTTAGCTCAAGCTTCGAGATATTTTACACAGGCAAATCAAATAGGAAGTCGTTTTAGTAAATGCGTACTGATGCTGCCTGCACAAACCTTATTTTGTTCTGCATTGGTACACCTAACTTGGAATAAACCCGTGGAGATCCCCCCGATGTGAATGGCCCTGCCCAATGGTATACGTTTAGGGACTTTTCCAGTACTAAACGGGAGTACATTAGACGACCACAAGAGAATAACGCGAATCCAGTCGATCAATTCTGGCCAACTGGCGTCTGGTAACGAGACAATGTGTAAATATATTCATGGCATATACCTGTATGTTCGGTTGTCCTCTCTGAATTTTCTTATTGATGCGGGCTTTTGGCTACAGCCGAATCAACGTTTGTATGAAGTATATATCAATCTTCATTACATAGCCCAGCTCCATTGCATTGTCAAATCTCCGAAGACACGCTTATGAATTCAAATTTAGCTTGAAATAATATATATCTACATCAGCGCCATCAAATTCATTATAAACAGAAGTATATAATTTCAGAGTAGTCAAACATCCCCCTTGAAACAAGATCTCATAGAGTACTGTAGTATATATCATTCATGACGACACGGTAGTATAAAAGATCTATAGATCTAGTTGCCTAGCTCCGTACGCCTTGGTGGCCTACAACCACGCTTTCCGCTCTCCTTCTAAGTTCCATTTCGCCAATTTCCCTCAGTTTGTATTTCTCTGTTTTCCCAGTCGCCGTTAAAGGAATTTTAGATACCCAGAATATGTACTTCGGCGCGGAGCTTCTGCCTAGAGTACCCCGGACCATGCAACGAATATCTTCTCCCGTGAGAATGGTTCCTGTAGGCCCATTGTTAACACCGGCTAGAGGTTCTGATCTGGCACGGAGGTCAAAAGATGAAATATCGTGGCATTGCGAAATAAGCGCATTTTCATGTGGTATAACGAAAGCAGATACAATCTCGCCATAGCGATCATCCGGTAACCCGACAACAGCCACGCTGTTTATAAGGTCATGCTGGAGTAGAAAATTTTCGATTTCTGAGGGATAGATATTCTCGCCCCCTCTAATTATAATATCCTTGATCCGGCCGGTTATTTGTAGCATACTATCCGGTCTGATGACAGCTTCGTCCCCAGTTCGGAGCCAGGTTTTTGAGCCTTGAAATGAACCCGATCCATCTGGGTGCATGTCTGTCTCTATTATCAGGGCCTCCGACGTTCGTTTTTCGTCTTCCCAGTAGCCTTTCATTAGTAGATATCCTCCAATTAAAAGTTCACCCCTCTCCCCTCTCTGCAATGTTCGGTGATAGTTATCACGAGAGACAATTCTGATTTCCGTATGTGGTAAAGTTGTCCCGACAGTGTTATGGTGTCTCTCAATCTCATCGTTGAAGCATGTTGTAGAAACACTCGGCGATAGTTCGGTCATCCCGTACATATTCAACAATCCAGACAAATTCATTTTTTCCTTCAATCTAGCTCGAAGAACGGGTGGAACGATGCTACCCGCGATAAGCCCCGTTCTCAGGCTTGAGAAAGAGGAACTTCCAAGCCCACTTTTCAATGGATTAGCTTAATATCCATCGACTGCTTCACTAGTAAAGGTAGACACTGACCGCTGAGCAGCCTCCTCCAGTTCTGCTAGAAACATGGTTGGCACTCCGTAAATCACAGTGGCCTGATGATTGATAATAGAGTCGACTACAGCCTTTGGGCTAAAGCTTTCGGAGGGCAGGAGCAAAGTGCAGCCTCCAGAAAATCGGTTCAGTCAAATAAAATGAACGGTGGGCGATACATAATTAACTTACCGAAGGCCATTGTTGACAAGACACCCAACGACATAGCAAAAGCATGGTATATCGGAGGCGCGCAACATAAAACATCCAGTTCCGTAAGATTTAGCCGATTCCCGGTAACGATAGCGTTATTCAAAAGACTTTTGTGGGTCAAGCAAGCAGCCTTGGGCGATGATGTTGTTCCCGAAGTGAATTGAATGTTAATAACGTCTGAGGGCGTCAATTTCGCTTGCTGCTGGAATTTCTTCCCGCAGTTTTGATCGAGGACATCATCGAACCACACCGCGTCCGAAAAGGCTTCACGGTGGCATTTAGAGGGTGAGTTGTCGATGACGAGGAGGTGCCTAAGGGAAGGAACTTTGCTGTTACGGCTTTCTTTTGGAATAATCCCCCCGAAAAGTTCGTGGGCTGATTTCGGGTCTTTGTAAGGCAATGAGATATCTGTACTAAGTACCAGGCAACTCGCCGTAATATGGTTGATAGCGGAAACCAACTGTACTTCAGTATAAGCAGTACTCATGGGGACTACTATTGCGCCTAACTTGGCGCAGGCATGTATTACCTAAGAGTTACATAACTGTAAGTTAGATTGCGCGAGGCTCTATCACTTGTAGACAACTCCGATTCTCCGCAGATTGGGGCCATAGCTATTCAGCTAGCTAATGAGAGAGGAAACAAGGATGGACTTAGACTACTTACCACAACATACTCTGCCAAATTCCCTAGGCAAACGGCTACTCTATCAGCTGGCCGGAATCCCAAATCTCTAAACGTAATTGCAACTGCGTCACTTTGTTCATCGATTTGCCTGTAGGTAAGCTTCCCTTGGTTCGACAGGACAGCAACACGATCTGGGTATTTTGCAACTACCGCAGCAAGCCTGTTGGCAATAGTCTCTTCAACTAGTGGCTCCTTTTACAGCTCATTAGTTTTATAATCTCATCATCGAGAGCGCCTATTTATCTAAAGGCGCACGTCTAACGTCTGGGACCTTACATCGGTTGACCCTTGCACATATGCCGGCGCCATGGTTGGTGGTAATATAATATTATCCAGTCTTTCTGGAATACCCGATGGCCGAAGAATACCGAATCAGATTCAAAAGTATATTTGATCGAAATTGATCAGTCGATTCTAGATCTACCAAGCTACTCAGATACTAGCGACCCCAACTGAAAATATATAAGGAATTTATATTCCCCATTGTCTGGGGGGTTCAACGAGTTCTAGCAACTAAAGTTTTATGCAACATGACTACAACTTCGGCCTTACAACCCAATTTGGGCTTGGGTGACACAATTGAGTCCTTTGCTCTAGCTTTAGTTCTCCAAGGGTAGCTTCACCAATTGTTGTGGCCTTCTATTGCTTAAATGGATTTGAAAATGGCGCGGCCGATATCAGACGCAGCGAACCTGACACCGGACACATGGAAAACATCCGTTTTGTGGCGGCGCCGGGACAATTAATCGAAAAGGGCCGAGCAGGCAAATTTAGACTTTGCAAGGATTATTAGCGCGCACATGGGACATTGCGATCACTCGCTGCATGGCTTTAAATCGCCCGTGGGAGGCGAATCGTTAAAGAGAGGGGCAATAAGACGCTAGACGTCTGGATGACGGGACATTGCGAATATCCTAAGGGGATACTAGCTGACAATATAAGTGGAGCCGGTCCCCATAATCTTCGATTGTGACCTGTTAGGGTACACTTTCCTCTTCAAGGAAGTATACATACTAAGCTTTACCGCGAACGCCCACCCGGCCGGCCGGCCCTCGACACCTGAAAACAACATCCAACCCCTCGGGGTCTGGCACCGTCAATATGGCCACGTTAACGAGACTCCACAAAACATCTTCTAAGTCATGTCGATGGCGTACAATTTAGTAAACCCACAGATATCCCGAATTGTGTCGGATATATTTTAGGCAAGCGACATAAAATCCCATCCCATATACCAATTGCTCCATCCACAGAACTAGGACACAGAACTTAGCGTGATCTTCGCGGCTCGTTCCCGACCGATATCTCTGGAAATTGCATGACAGACAAAGCAATTCCAAGGACGCGAAGCTAGGTTAAATACTGCCCTGGTGGTAACGTCTCCAAATTCCTAAAACCGGAGCTTGCGGCGGTTAACTTCAGATCCATATATAGATACGAAAAAGAGACAGTCATTCAACTTAGAGTATGTAAACAGTTGTCTGGAGTCTGTATCAGAACGGAAGGCCTCTGAGATTTGCTAGCCCGGCATGAACAGCCTTGTTAGAGTATCTCAGCTAGATAGTTTATCGCGATATCGGCCGGCACTGTGCGGGTTGTTACGTAGGCTGAGATTCATTACTGACATGATCGGTCTGTATACGTGATTTAGCCGCCACTTTTGGAATTACGGTGCCCCATGCAAATGCGAAGGGCCAGTCTATAAAATATATATCGCTGCAACGACCCTCCGGAGTTACGGTTTCGAAGCACAAACGAAAAATTTATCCTTTGCAACGTCTCACGTGGAACCCTAAATACGACAGTACTTCAAAGCATCCTAAACTTCCCTCAATTCGTTCCATAGCCATGGCTAAAGACATGGCTGGAACGGGGCAAGGGCATTCTGAGCCGCTTGCCATCGTAGGGTTCGCCTTTGAGTTCCCGTCCGGGATCACGAATCCAGAATCTTTCTGGGAAATATTGGTAAATGGGAAAATCGGCCTCGGAGACGTACCCGACGATAGATTTAACCTTGGAGCATTCCATGAAACGAAATCCAGTGACAACAAGGTAAACTTAAACTTCGCTCTCGTCGTAGGCTACCACGGTTTACGCAATCCTAGGGGATAGAGGTTAATTTATGGGTTTAGAGTCAAAAAGCACAGGGTTATTTTATCAAAAACGATATCTCTGCGTTCGATGCCCCCTTTTTCTCTATAACAGCCGAAGAGGCTGTGGCAATGGACCCTCAACAGAGACTACTACTCCAAACTGCCTATCACGCTTTTGAAAACGGTACGCTATCTCTGGTGTGGAACTCAAGACTACCTTGACGTATTCCTCTCGACTGCCGCATCTAGTCTTTGAAATTTATAGGCCTAGGGATACGTCCTTGAAATCACAATTCTAACTATATTGCCTACAGCCGGCCTAACCTTGGACAGTATCAACGGAAGCAAAACATCTGTTCACGTTGGCTGCCTATCACAGGATTATAAAGTAGGAAATAACAAAGACTCGGAAGCCTCTCCGAAATATGCTGCAACTGGCGACGAATTCACCATCTTAGCAAATAGGCTAAGCTGGTTTTACAACTTAAACGGACCCAGTATGTCAGTGGAGACAGCTTGTTCAAGCAGTTTAGTTGCTTTGGACCTGGCGTGTCAACTCCTCAGAAGCGGCGATACAGACATTGTAAGTTCCCATCAGAGCTCTAGTCATACGCTTGGACTCAAGGCTAGTATAAAGATTGAATCTTGAAGTTATCGGAGAAGTCTGCAATTACTATCCAGAACATAGTAAATCCGATGCGATCGAAGCCTCTTAGCTACTTGGAATGCACCTGGGCGTTGTCTTATACTTACATACTAACGTGAAATTCTGAATTTCGTTGTAGGGTCTAGTTGCGGGTACCAGTTTGATTCACCAACCAGACTTTTATATCCACTTGGACAATATGGGGTTTCTATCTCTTGATAATAGATGCCACAGCTTTGACTCCCGTGCAAATGGGTATGCCCGTGCTGAAGGAATCGGTGTTGTTTTAGTCAAAAGACTATCAGATGCTATCAGAGACGGGAACACGATCCGAACTGTAATTCGTGCAACCGGCAGTAATTCAGATGGGCATACGCCCGGTATTACTCAGCCAAGCGGCACCTCCCAGCTGGCGTTAATTAAAGATACATATAAAAAAGCCGGTATATCGATGGACGAAACGCGATATTGCGAAGCTCACGGAACAGGCACTACTATCGGAGACCCTACAGAGTCTCATGCCATCGGCGCCGCTTTTCGGGCTGCCCGTAGCTCCGAGGATCCCCTATATATGTAAGTTTTGAAACCATTGATCTTGGCTCTTTACCTCCCTCTTTCGAAAGACGTAGAGTTCTTCTCTTGCTAGATATTTTGGAATTGCTTCATGTCCATGTGAGGCGCAACACCAAAAGTACTAGACACAGATAGATTTTAGCCCTGCGACTTTAAGCTTTACTGATCTTTTCTACAATTCTTAAATTACGGAAACCAGATTCTAAGCTCTTATTGATATTTAGAGGCGCTGTCAAAGCCAATATTGGACATATGGAAGCAGCAAGTGGTATAGCGGGGATTATCAAGACTGTACTAGTCCTGGAGCGGGGAGTGATACCACCCATCGCCGACCTCGTTGAGCTCAACCCACGTATTGACCATACGTTTTACAAGCTCAAGGTATTCATAAAACTTTCCTGTGCGATATTCTGAAATCTGAATTGAGGCTAATAGAGATTAGTTTCCCGTCGAGCCGATACCTTGGCCTACAAAAGGTTTACGCAGAGCGTCTGTAAATTCATTTGGCTATGGAGGGACAAATGCCCACGTCGTTATGGACGACGCTCACAATTTCCTCGCTGAATATGGACTCAAGGCCAATCATAACACCGCGAGCTTGCCACCAGTTATCGAGCGTGAGGGTAAAATTAGGTTGCTTGGCGATAGGAGCACGGAGAATATTGACTCTACGACCACTTCAAGGCCATATCTGCTCATGCTGTCTGCAGCAGACCGCGAGGGGCCCCAACGAATTGCAAATATTTATACCGATTACTTGAAGGAAATGGCGCATCCAGGCGACACAGTTGCGAATTCTGCTCTGTGCCGACGACTAGCGTTTACATTGGAAAAGCGCCGTAGCCTCCTACCATGGAGGGGATACACAATAATAGACCCACAGCAACTCTCCTCCTCCGATTCAATTACGAAGGGATTCTCTGTACCAGTACAACCTCCTTCCTCCCCGTGCCTGGCATTCGCTTTCACCGGCCAGGGTGCTCAGTGGGCAAGAATGGGAATTCAATTCATGCAATATTCAGTATTCGCGCGAAGTATCCGAATATCCGCAAAATATTTGCGCGGTTTCGGCTGCTCTTGGGATCTTGAAGGTAAGAGGGGCATTAAATAGCAGAGTATAGAAAGTGGGTAATGCTAATATACCGTAGAGGAACTTAGCAGGGATGCATCAAATTCCCGGGTCAATGATACGGATATAAGCCAACCTCTGTCGACAGCCCTTCAAATTGCCCTCGTAGATCTGTTGGAGCATATAAAGATAAGGCCTGCAGTTGTCATCGGCCATTCATCTGGAGAGGTTGCGGCAGCGTAAGTTTCCAGAGATTTTTTATGTTTGAAATTATTAGCTAATCTCAAAATACATACAGATACTGCAAAGGTGCCCTCTCCCAGGAAAGTGCCTTAAAAATCGCATATTTTAGAGGTATGGGGGGAGCATCAGAAGCTAGAGATCCCAACCGTAATGGCACGATGATTGCTGTGGGGCTTGGCGAAGCAGAAATCCTACCCATTCTTCAAGAATTAGCCGCGAAGGGTTACGAAGATATCTACATCGGGTGTATGAATAGCCCCAGTAACGTTACCGTTACTGGCGACGCGGATCAGCTTAATATTTTGAAGGGCATCCTAGATGAGAGAGGCGTCTTTGTGCGCAAAGTTAAAGTGCCTTGCGCTTACCACTCGCCGCATATGATACCGATCGCCAAAAAATATGTTCAGCAAGCTGGTCCTCTTGAACGACGTGACGTGAGGCCTGATGATATTATTCACATGATCTCTTATGTTGACGGGAAACACGTTTCCGGTGAGCGCCTTCGAGAATTAGATTACTGGATGACAAACCTTTACTCCCCGGTTCGCTTTACAGAAAATGCAGGTGGGATAGATCGTCTGGCATTTCTTGCGAAAACTAAGGGACGAAAGAAACTGGACCTCAGCCACAGAAAAGGAATGATGGTTACCAATATTTTGGAAATTGGGCCTCATGGTGCTTTACGAAGCCCACTCCGGGAAATTATGAAGACATTTGAGCATGCGTCAAAGACCATCAAATATGACACAGTTCTGGTACGCGGAAGTAGTACTGTGGAGCCTCTTCTTCAAGCAGTGGGAAGCCTGCGATGTTGTGGATTTAACCCAGATATTTCGTACCTCAATCGCGACGAAGAAAACCAAGAGACAGCACCCCTCGTGGACCTTCCATCGTACCCATTTAAATCGAGTAGCTACTGGGCAGAGAGTCGCCGTAGTAAAGATGAAAGATTCCGCCGCCGCAAGCCCAGTGAGCTACTGGGCACCCCCACTCCTGACTGGCAGCCTTTCTGTGGCGCCTGGAGGAATTATTTGAGCCGGTCAAAATCTACTTGGATGGAAGACCACAAGGTGAGTCTTCTTTAGTTTCGATTCACGCTCATTTCATGTGGAGAAGACCAAATAGACTAAAAAAAAACTAGCTTGACAACGTAATCCTGTACCCTGGAGCTGGCATGGTGACTATGGCAATCGAAGCAATGAACCAGTACGCCTTGGATACTCTAGGGATAATTCCTAAGGCCTTTTGCCTGGCTGACGTCGAATTCGTTGCTGCCATACAAATCCCGGAGGTTTCTTCGAGCCTGGAAGTGCATACACATTTGCGAGTGCTAGGAGACTCATATAAACCCGGTGCATGGTTCGAATTTACAATTTATTCACATCAGGGTGATCTATGGAAGCTGAATTGCAGAGGACGTGTCCGGGCCGAGGCTAATACTAACAGCTACAAAATTACATTTCGTAAATCTGGAGCCGCTGACGCTACGACCTCTCTCCAAGTAGATGAATTCTACGACAAAACTACAAAGTCCGGTTACCAGTTCGGTCCTTCATTTCAAAGAATCAGTAAACTTCAATCTTCGCCGTTGACTCCGGGCCTTTTACAAGGCGTAATCAGCGTTTACGATCGGGTGGGACCTGACTCTCTTGGAAAACGGGGCTTGCGTGCGATGGATTGGAATCATATCATACATCCAGCAACATTGGACGCAGTCCTCCAAATGACTCTTGCCAATGTTACATTCACAGAGTATGCACAAGACTCCATACCTGTCATGGTCCCAACCAAAGTCAAAAGGCTATGGATCTCGAGCACGGGTTTAAGCCATCCGGATTCGTCTTCCCTATCCGTGACTACTTGGTGCGAGCTTTCTGGCTATGAGCATACTATTCAAGTGATAAACCACCGGAGCCCTGAAGATATCAAAGTCGAAATTACTGGATTAGAAATGACCATTATTTCTAGCAAAGCCGATGGCCCTTCCAATGTAATCTCACCAAAAGAACTTCACGTTTGCTGGAATACCGCCTGGAAAGCACTGCCTTCCGTAACGACAGACCTTCCCAGTGTCTCCAAAAAGACAGAGCTAAGCACAAGCATTGTGGGGCGCCAACTCGCGGTCGAGATCTATCTTCCTAGCTCACCTACAGTGGGCGCCGTCGATCTTGGTACCACTCTACAGCTAAAGTTGAAAGATTTTGGCTACCCTAACCCTAGAATCATTGAGTTTGAGCAAGCAACAAGCGTTGAAAACTCGAAGGCTGATCTTAAGATCATTCTCTGGGACGTGGACAGAGAGTCCTATTTAGCCAGCCTAGGTGAAAAGTCTCTTGCTATTTTGAAAAAAGTTCTAGACTCTAGAAAAACTATTTTGTGGGTTCGAACTTCGGATTCGCCTTCGGCACATATAGTCGATGGGTTGTCAAGGGTCGTTCGCCAGGAACAAAACATGTCAAACTTCGCAACGATCTCAACAACAAGCTCAACTACTTTAGATCGCACGAACGCCATTCATGAGGTTATTAAAACCCTGCTCTCGGAACAGGGTAGTGGCGACGATATTCCACAGTCTTTTAGAGAGACATCTACCGGCGGAATCGAGGTCTGCCTATTGAAAGAGAATAAGGAATTGACGAAAAAGATTCAATCCGTACAACGACCCGCGGAGCCAACCTCCGTCGCATGGGATGTGGATATCAGTGGCCCCCTCAAAGTTGCTATAGCTGCGCCTGGTGATCTTTCTACAATTCACTTCGTAGAGGATCCATCGCCCGGGAGTTTAGGTGTAAGCGAAATCGAGGTTGAAGTGAAAGCAGTTGGTCTCAACTTCAAAGACTGCCTAGCGGCTCTAGGCACAGCAAATGAGAAGAGTATTGGCAGTGAAATTGCGGGAGTCGTAACTCGGACTGGTCTCAACGTCAAGCACTTCAGGCCAGGCAACCGTGTCTGTGGTTTCGCTACAAACGGAGTTCGGACCCTTTTCCGTAACAATGCTCAGTTATTTTCTCTCATTCCGGACTCTTTAACTTTCACCCAAGCAGCTTCAATTCCAGTCAATTTTGCGACTGCTCTGTATACGCTCCAGACCACCGCAAGGGTTGCAGCGGGCGAAACCGTGCTCATACATCGCGGCTCTAGTGGAACAGGCCAGGCCGCTATCCAGGCCGCTCTTCATCTCGGGGCAACTATTTTCGCAACAGCTGGAACTCCGGAAAAGCGTGAGCTATTAACCACTGAATATGGGATCCCCCAAACGCACATCTTCAGTAGCCGGGATAACAATTTTGTTGCAGAGATTCAATGTCTCACTAAAGGACGAGGTGTTGACGTTGTTCTAAATTCGCTCGCTGGAGAACAATTGACAGGTTCCTGGGAATGCATTGCACCTTTTGGTCGCTTCATCGAAATTGGCCGCCAAGGCGTGCCGGCCGGGGCACAGTTGGAAAAGAATTGTTCTTTCACTACGGCCGATCTAGCTCATATGTATCGAGAGCGCCCGTTACAAGCCTCGAAGATGATCGGCGACGCCTTAAGTCTTTTTGAAAAGGGTGTTTTTCGACCGCTGCAATTCCACCAGTTTCCAGTTTCAGAGGTTATAGAAGCTTTGAAATTGATTCGCGGTCGGAACATGAGCGGAAAGATAGTAGTAAATATTGAACGATCCATGAAGGTCCAGGTACGCAGAATAGCCCGGCTAAGGCTGCTTCCGATATCCACAGGTCTAGAGTTTCAATCGCTAACCGTCTTTTCATATGAAAATTATAGGCGATACTGATGCCCAAAAAACAACGACTATTCTTTTCGGATGCATCTTATGTTATTGCTGGTGGGCTGGGTGGTCTTGGGTGCGATATTGCTCGCTGGATGGTAGACAGAGGCGCACGTCACTTAATTCTATTGTCGCGATCAGGTGCTCGCACTGAAACAGCACGGGCGTTGTTGACAGACCTCAAAAACCTCGGCGTAAATTGCGTCACACCAGCCTGCGATATTTCTAGCTTTGAATCCGTTAAAGAGACTTTGGAAAGCCTAGTTGGGGTTGTGCCCCAAGTTAAGGGTTGCATTCAAGCTAGTATGGTCCTAAGAGTAAGTTTTAATCCGAGAAATGGGAGACTATAAGATAGAGAGGCTAATTATAAATATAGAGTGCTTTGTTTAGCAATATGACGCACTCCGAGTGGAGTGAAGCTCTAGCCCCTAAAGCCTCTGGAAGTTGGAATCTTCACGCACTTTTGCCTGAAGATATGGATTTCTTCATTCTTCTGTCTTCGATTCAAGGCCTTATGGGGCCTCGAACGCAAGGGAATTATGCTGCTGGCAATACGTATAAAGACGCTCTAGCACAGTATCGTATTTCACGAGGCCTGAAAGCAGTATCACTGCAACTCGGATTGATGGACAGCGATGGGTACATGGCAGCCGCGGAAAATGAAGATGAAAAGCGCATGATGATGGCTCAGAACTCCTTCGTGCCAGTTCAACGCCTAGATTTCCACGCCCTATTAGAGCATTATTGCGACGCCACTATTCAAATACAACCAGACCAGGCACAACTCGCTCTGGGTATCAAGTTGCTCCATGTTGATCCAGACCTTGACCCACTTGGAACGAGCTGGGGAAGAGACCCTATGTTCCAGGAATTGCGCCGTCTTGAGGCTACTGAGGGAGTTCCTAGTGGAGCAACCAATAGCAAGGAGACCGTGATACAGCTTGCTGCCGCCAGGTCTGATGAAGAGGCAGCAGATGTGGTCATAAAAGCTTTAACTGAAAAGTTGGCTTCTATAGTGTACGCTAATGGGGCAGATGCAGACAATATTGACCGAAGGAGGCCGGTTCAGGCATACGGGGTGGACTCACTTCAGACAATGGAGCTACGAGGGTGGTTCTTGAAGACTTTCCGGTCAGATGTGCCAACTTTCGAGATCTTGGGTGCCCCAAGTCTGAATGCGCTTGCACTGATAATCGGTGAACGAAGCACCCTTCGGATAAAATCCCCTTGATTATGAATTTAGCTATTGTTTTATTTCTTTGAGGTTGATAGAATGCCAATGTATATACTCCGATATAGATCCCAAAGAATGGTCTCAGTTAAATGACTTCAATTCACTGAGAAATTATACTCTAGATTTTATACATGAAGGAAGACACTAACTATTATTTCCAACCCCATTTACTGTCATCTCGGGATTTCACCTAATAAAAATATTAGCGAATTTTGCTAAATTTACTATTATTGTAACAAAGCAATCACAGCATAACGAACTCTAAACAAAAATCTAAGCAGCCAGAGAAACCCTCAGAATAACTATAAGAAATATCTAACTGTTATTCTAGGTGGAAACACGGCGTATTTCCAGCTATTTGAGGGAATAAACAGAAGTAAAAGGTGATAAATATTTCAAGAACTTTAAAAATACTTAATATTATTTTAATAAAAATTAGTATAAAAATTATAATATTTATTAGTAAGTTTATTAATCAAAAATGAAAAATTATATATTTAAATAAAAAAATAAAAAGTTAAATACTATAATAAAAATATTTTAAAAAATATGTTATCTATAATATAAAAATTTAATAACCTAATATTTCCTATAAATTAAAATTTTTGATAATGTGTAATTAAAAAAAGAAATTAGCTAAAATAGGGAAAATTAGCTAATTAATTAAATTTTTCAAATAAATGGTAAAATATACTAATAATTATTATAATAATTAACAAAGAAAATATTTGATTATAAATTATAAAAAATAAAAATTAAAATGTTTATTTTATAGAATTCAGAAGTATTGATTAAAAGATAAATTATTGTATTATGAGATATAATTAAATCTAATATTTATTATATATTAGTATTTTTAAATTAAATTATTAGAAAAAGAAAAAAAAAGTTTTATTTAAAATAAAAACCTAAAATTTTAAATATAAAGTTATATATATTTTTTATAATAAAAAAATATTAATTTATCAAATAGTTTTTTAAATATTTTAAAAATTTCGAAATTCTAATATATATAGTTTACCAGAAAATTATAATATTATTTAATATTATAAAATATATTAACAAACAATATTAAAACTTAAACTTAGATTTTTAAAAAGATTTAATAAAACAATATAAAAGTTTTTGATTAGTTAATCTAATTAATATCAAAATAACTAAACTAGTTAAAATTTTTGATTCTTTAAAAAAATTATATAAAATATTTATTTACACCTTTAAAAATTATAAAATTATATATTTAAAAAAGATTTAAATAAGGAAATATATTAATCAAATTTATAATATTATAACAAAGCAATCTCAGCATAATGAACTCCAAGCAAAAATCCAGACGACTAGAGAAACCCTCAGAATAACTATAGGAAATATCTAAGTAATATTATAATTAAAAGAAAAACTATATAACATAACATAAATTATAAATTTAAAATAAAAAAATATCTAAATTTAAATTTTAAAATTTGTAATTTAAAATTACAACTATTATATTAATAAGTATGGTATAAAATTTGTTTAAGCTTTTATTTTATATAGATTTTCTAGTTTATATAAAAATAATTTTTGTTTAGTTTAATACTTTATATATTTAAATATTTAATTTAGACTTAATTTTTATTTAATTTAATAAATTATATAATTTTAACTTTTATCTAATTTAATACTTTATATATTTAAATATCCAATTCAGATTTAATTTCTATTTAATTTATTTTATTATTTTTTTTATTAATTATTTATTTAAATTATTATATTCGCTATTATATATTTAAAAACCAAATAATAATTTAAATATTAATTTATATTCATACTAATATACTACTCTTTACTTTATAACATTTGTATATTATTTTAATATTATAATTAATTCATATACAATTTCTTATACTTTATTATTTTATAATTTTATTAATTTAATACTTAAATGTTAGTATTGATTTTATTAAAAAATAAATTTTTTTAAAAAAAAAAATACCAAAAAAAAAATTGTAATTATTATTTTATTAAAATTTATTATTAAGTAAATTAAAATTATAATAATAATTTTTAAATATTTTAAAAATAGTATATCTATAATAGTTTTAATAATTATTTTAAATATTAAATTTCTAGATTTTAATTTTTTCAATAGTATTAAGTTTTATAAATTACGAAATTTTTTAATTTAACTTAATAATAAATATAAAGAAAAAGTTACTAAATTTATTATATTTAAAAAAAAAGATTATATATATTATTAATTTTTTTAAAAGAAATTTAGTAGAATTAGTTTTTAATAAATATAATATTTGTAAGAAATCGTATACAGACTAGTCGTAATATCAAGATAATACACAAATGTTATAAAATAAAGAATAGTGTATTAGTATAAATACAGATTAATATTTAAATTATTACTTAATTTTTAAATATATGATAATAAATATAGTAATTTAAATAAATAATTAATAAAGAAAATAACAAAGTAAATTAAATAAAAATTAAGTTTAAATTAAATATTCAAATATATAAAATATTAAATTAAATAAGAGTTAAAACTATATAATTTATTAAATTAAATAAAAATTAAATTTAAATTAAATATTCGAATATATAAAATATTAAATTAAATAAAAGTTATTTTTATATAAATTAAAAAATTTATGTAAAATAAGGGTTTAAATAAATTTTATACTATATTTATTAATATAATAATTGTAATCTTAGATTACAAGTTTTAAAATCTAGATTTAAATACTTCTTTATTTTAGATCTATAATTTGTGTTATATTGTGTAATTTTTCTTTTAACTATAATATTACTTAAATATTTTTTATAATTATTCTAAAGATTTTTCTGGTTGTTTGGATTTTTGTTTAAAATTTATTATACTAAAATTGTTTTATTATAAAATTTTTTTTTTAGTATTAATATTTCATCAATGTTTTGTTTAAAGGTTTAGTATTATAATAAGTTTTTTACTATATTAATATTTTTTATTGATTTTAGGTAATATGAATTTTTTATAATTGTTTTTGTATTTAGTTTTTGAAAATTCTAGTTTTTTAAAAATTTTTAAAAATTTTTTAAAAAATTCTTTTTAATTTTTTTAATATTTCTAGTATTTTTAATATTTTTGATTTTAGAATTTTTAATAATTTTAAATATAAATTTTTTAGTTAAATTTTTTTTCTAAATTAAGAATTTAATTATTAATTACTTGTTTTAGTAAGTTTTTGATAATTAAATTAAAATTTTTTATAACTTTTTAAACTTAAATTAGTTTAATTTACAATTTTTAGATTTTGTTATATAGATTAATATAGATAAGTTTTAATATCTAAATATTAAAAAAATCTAATATTAAAAATAAATCTTAAATAATATCTAAATATTAGAAAATTTTGATTAATTTATTTATTTTTTTTTAAATTATATTAAAATAATAAAATAAAGTTAAATATATCAGGTAAAAAAAATTAAGTCAATCAAGATAAAATTTATAAAAGTCATTAAATAGTTCCTAAACATAAATAATATCAAATATTAATTATTAAATAAATTTGTTTCAACCTTTTTATTAAAAAAAATATTAAAATTTTTAATAATATATTTATAAATTTAAGATTTTTTTAATTTTATATTTTTCTTCATTATTAATAATAATTAGTGAAAGTTATTCTTTATAATTTTAATTAAAAAAAGTG